ACTTGTGCAACACAACGTATGAAATTCTTTTTGGGCCGAATCAAGCCCAAGCTGCTGGATACAAAGGTGAGGGCGGGCAACAGTTAGCTTAGCAGGACTCGTCATTTAAGCACTTGTTTCACAGCGTTTTTGCTTATTTTGTGTTGTCCAGTGTGTTCAATAGTTGTTGAAAGTATATCTTATAATGTTATTATTGTTGTAACAATTTTGAAAATAAAAACATGAAATCATATTTGAAAAAATTGTTACAGATTTGAAAAATAATATGACTAGTTTAAAAAGTCATTTAAGAATTTTTTTTCTAGTACTATTCATCACTACAGTATTTTTGTTGTAGTGCATAAACAACCGAAAACATCAATTTGGTGTTTCTAGTTTTGGCCTCTTTTTCAAAAATATTGTGATACTATTCAAATAGTAGCAAAACGTTATCAAACATGCTTATATATTTTGCTTCGCTAGAGTATGCTTTTTAAAATAAAAAAAACACAAAACAAAAGTAGTTGTCACGCGGTGCCTTAGTAAACTAATTTGGCATTGAAATTGTTTTACTCGTGTGTTCTTTACAGACATTTATATCACATGGGTGTTCTTTTTGATTCGTGAATTCGAATTGATCCAATTTGATGATCGGATTTGTTTTTTAGCCCATTGATTTAGTGGCTGATTTATAAAATAGAAATTCATAGGAATGAAATTGATTCACACATTATGATTTCAAAAATCTGATCCAATCTGTGAATCTAATATGATCATTCAATCATATAGTATATTCAAATATTACATATTCATATATATATAACCCTAAACTAAACCCACAGCCTCACTCTCTTTAATAAATACAAATATATTGAGTTTTTTATTCCAATTTGAATTTTAAATTAGTTATAATAATGTGGGGTTACTGTTTTGGTCACTACATGTTGTTGGATGTGTCAATGATCATTTGGTGTTATTTATTTATTTATTTTATTGTTATTTTTAAATATATCAACTTATGTTTGATAAATTGAGAATTCATTCATAGGGAGAAAAAAAAAATAGATTTATTTGGCTATTTAGAAAAGCTCAATATGTAAAATCAATTCAATCCAATTCAATATTTTACGATCGAATAAAATTAAAGTTTTCCAATAACACATATTGGATTGGATTTAACTTTCATCAATCCTTAGGAATCAAATTGGTTAATGGTTTAAGTTTAATGTCTAAACCGAACCAATCCAATCCTTGGTCACTCATAATCATACTTGTCCGTCTGAAAAAAATAAAACATAAGCGTGGTGACAGTACATATTGAACCAAGATTCTTTCTTATGTCATTTTTATTCCATATTTGTACTATGCTTAATGCAATAATTTTACATTGCGGACGTAATTACTTTAAATAGTGAATGCAACAACTTCAAATTGACAATATAACAACTATGTAAATATGTTAAATCCTATATTTAATTGTGTTATAATATTGCAACTGTTTTACGAGGGCCGTATCTTTAATATAAGTGCGTTACATAATTTTTTTAAAAATTATTGCATGAGTATTATATTTTGTGATATAACTCTCTTGAGTGATGTTCCTGTATTCTTCGCGCCCTTGCACAGGATCCGAGGTGATACAAATGATTTTATGTTTGAACTTATAGCTTTGCTTCTAACCGGAAAATTGTTTTGACTCTAAATTGATGGTGATTCTATATGGGCATGTTCATATACCTAGACCTGATATTTGATTTTCACATCTTTTAGTAGTTAAAAAGAAGAAGAAGAACATTGGAACCTGGACACTCATTTTGCATGAAAACATAGGACAACCGCTTGGTGAATGGGTAAATGTACCAAACACGTGAAAGTTAATGTGGGCACCGAGAATAGTAAACTTTGTACAGGTAATTTTATAGTGCATTGGTAAATGTAAAAAGTATTAATACATCTAAATAAACTTTAATGTATTAACATGACATCTGAAGAAAGGAAAAAAATACTTGGGACTAACAGCAAATATCACAAAAGAGTAGGGCAACAATAAATAGGAAAGCAAAGATGGTTTAAAAGTATAGCAAAATATAAACAAACACCTACATACTAATGTGGTGTAATAATATAAATTCATTAAAAATCATTTGTTTGGACGTAAATATTTTTTTATGTAAAATATTCTTTTTATTTATTATTTTTCGGTGTTTGGTAAGGATCGGGAAATATTTTTTAGATAAACTTTAATGTGTGCACAATTAATTCTCTCTCTTTAATGTTCCTCACCAACAAAGAATAGTCCTTACAATTTACTCGCGGTCTCTTTCTTCAGTATTCCTCACCAACAAGGAATGGTACCCATAAACCATCCCCCTCTCTCCTCGTTACCTTTTCTCTTTGTATGCTAAATCATCTATTTCTCTTTCTTAAGTATTCCTCATCAACAAGGAATGGTACCCAACCCCCTCTCTCCTCGTTACTTTTTTTCTCTCTCTCTACGATAAACCATCTCTCCCTCTCCTCATTACTTTCTCTTTCCACTTTTTTTCTATATCAGAACATGCTCTTGACCTATATGTTCATCTACCAATCTAAATTTGTATCCATTTTTCTCTCTTTTCTCACTCTATCTATATAAATAGAAAAATAATAGTGAAGATTAGATTTTTAGATTGGGAGGACTAAAAATGATTAATTATTAGAAAGAAATATGATTCAATAAGATTACGAATGGTTAGATGAATCAAGATGGAATAATGATAGGGAGATTGGTGAATTATCCCTGAATAGAATGTTTTTATCTACCTCATTTACTTAAACAGTTTCTAAAAATGATTATTTAACACGAGATAAGAATGGTCAAATTCGATATTAATTCGGTGATTCCTTTTCGGTTCCCTATCATTACTCGTCACGATAACATGTGAAAAATGACTTATTGAAACATTTTTGATAAATTATTTTTTACATGAAATATAATTTTCTAACCTTTGAATGCCTCAAAACACAGCCAGAAAAATAATTTTGGAAAAATATTTTACTGTAAAATAAACGTAACCTTAATGATAATCACAAATTCATGAATAATTTTAAGATAGGGCCCACTACGGGGACAGCTCATCACCAAGAAAACTAACACCTCAATGATAGTGGGGCCCACTATGGGGACAGCTCATCACGACCATAAACTAATCACCTCAATCATTCCTTCAAATGTACATTTGTGTCGCTATTTCAATTTTAAATTAGTAGAAGTTTATCTAATCATGTTTGCTATATTAAGCTGACGTGGAAGGATTTAGATAAGATTGGATCAGTTCAGCCTTCAGGCGTCATAACACAACTTTCAATTTGTGATGCACCAAAATTTGCTAATCTTAATAACACTCGCCGAAATATTCCCTCCTTTTTTATTTATTTATTTATATCTCCTGCCCCAAACATTAGTTTTGTCTTCGTATGTAATATAAAAACCTGCAATTATTTTAGACCAAGACATTAAGCTATGGGTGCAGTGGTGCACCGGTGCAATTCCCTTTGGACTTCAGGGGTGGTCCATTTTTTTTTTTTTTGTGAACAATAGTGTCAGGTGGATGAATATGGTCCAAAATTATTTTCTTGAGCTCTATTCAAATGAATTGGCTCATTTTCGTTATGTTGGTTCAAGTTAAGAGCCATCTTAATCTTTAGATCACTAATAATAAATATAACAATACAAATTAAATTTAGGTCATCAGAATCTTACTTGAATTAAAATAGATTGAGAATTTTGGACTCAAATGAATTCGAAAAAATAAAATGAACTGTTCGAAAGATGGGGTTTGACTTGAGTTAGTGCAATGAATTAGGAAAATCAGAGCTGAAAATATTGACAGTTTGGGCAACGTTTTACGTGGTAGTTTAAGGGAGAAAAATCATAACTGCCCTAAAATTTCTCTGTGGGTAGATCTAAATTTGGACTCTATATAAATCTTTAGGATAACGTTGATTGGAAGTCATATAGCCCTCCTTCCCAGCCGGTTGAACCGGTCACCTCCCAAATTGCACTTATTACCCAAATTACCCTTGGCCATCACATTATTACATGTGTATCGGACCAAAATATAAATTTGTATTTTTGGGCCACTGACTAAGTAGGACCCACGAATTGCCAGGTATGATTTTGTGCTTTGGACCATGTAGGTCCTACTCGACTGATATCTGGTCCGAGGGTTACAGTGGGTTTTTATCTGTATGTAGCAACTACCTGCGTCAGCCAGACTGTGTAGCAACTCTCTATATTGACTATGAGCTATAAGGTGACTGACTAGTGGCATCCATGGAAAGAAAGGCTGGTAATACAAATTACACACACACACACATATATATATATTCTGAAAATATAATGTCAAAAAAATAACAACCACCAGATAGACATTCGTGGGGGCAAGATTGACGGCATGTGTGCCATCTATGCCACACCAAAGTCCATAAAACTCTTTGCTGTTGGTCTTACTCACAGACAAAGATTTCCATACACTTTTGATAATAATGGGTCCCACAAGAACTCAAATAGAAACCCTAAAGTGGTAACTGGTAACTCTTGTTCCTGTACTCTTGGTTGACACTGATCCACCTTTGATCTTCAAAGCCTAATCATATAACTTTTTGCTCACAAGAAAAGAAAAAGAAAAAGAAAATTCATGCTCATACAATCAAGTTTGATCCATAATAGAAACACCTTAGTCTATCTTTTTTTCCTTCTAAGCTTTTCCATCATTTTTTTGGCCATATAGGCATATGACATAACTCTGTGGACCCTAACGGGATATAAAAAAAAATGTGGACCATACAAAATTCAATATGGACATTAAAGTCATTTCGAGCTGTGGGCTGTTCTCACTGAATTCGAAATTCATGGCGCATTTCCAATAAATTCCATTAATTTTCCGTAAAGACAAATACTATAGTACTAGTATTTGTTAATTTTTCAAATTATTTTTCATTAAACAAGAAAAGCATCAAATTTTAAAAAATAAAAAATATATACTTGTATGTGTATATAGGTTTTCTCTGAGCCTTTGCTGTACGGAAATTTGTTGATTCAAACAAAAGAGACCCTTGAAAACTATCCTTTCTGTCATTTTACTTTCTTAGATAATGCTGTCGTTTTTAGGGAGAATTTATTTTTATTAATGAACTTTTTGCGGAGAATTAAGGGGTATGATTTCAGAATAGTAGAAGATAAAAATAGCAAAGAGGGTGAGGTCGAGGTAGAGAGAGAAAACCAGATTAGTCAATCAATTATGGAAGAGTTTGAGGTCTGACCTTATTGTTTGTTCAGAGGCCTGCAAGAATTGGTGGGTATATGAGATCTTTGCTCTAAAATGATTGGTCTCCATGCTTTTCTTTTTCAACTTATTTTTTGTGGTCAATTATTTTACCAAATTTGTAGATTCGGACATGGTTTTGTTTCTGAACATGGGTGTTGAACATTGAGAAAGTGTTAAAGAATTTTTCTTTTTGTTTCGTTTTTTGTTTTTTTTTTTTTTTTTTACTGTTTTGTAATGGTTAATCCTTTAGAAAAAATATGTGATTTTGGACTTGGGTTTGTTTAAGAATTGCTGCAGAACAATTATTTGAGTGTTTTAAATCTTTTTACATGTTGGGTTTTCACTGAAATGATAGAAGTACAGACTTTTGATTATGTGAGGAACTATTCTGGAAAAAAAAAAAATCAAATTTTGGATATGGGTTTGTTTCAAAATTGTTGTAAAACAGTAGTAATTGATGCTCAATATGTGTTTTCTCTGATGTTAGGTTACTGGGAAACGTCAAAACCTTGTGTTAATTTCTGTTTCTTCTCTCAATTTCTTAGTAAAATGGTTTTATTTTTGTTCGTGGTTGAAATGATAACTATGTTTCTTCCTTCAGATTTTCCTTGGAAAAGAAATTATCCTTTTCTGGTCCTAATGTTTCTTCAAATCTGGTTACCAAAACCAGTTTTTGTTTCTTACTCCATTGTGATGGTGAAGATGGTCTTCTTCCCTGTTATTTTAACCAATGAAGAAGCTTCTCATTTATAAAATTGGGTTCTACTTCTCAACATGGAATCAACGTGTTCATTTTGGTGGGGGTTGTGTTGATGCATTTCTTGTTCAAATTAAATTTCCTATTATGCCTAACATAAAAATAGTCGCTTTTTGCCCTTCCAATTTCTCCTAGACTACATTCAGCTTTAGTATCTGTGTTATCTGGCTATGACTTGTATACCATTTCTCCTTATATGGCAAAAAAAATTCTGTTTAATTTATACCCTTTGATTTGGTTCTATTCTATTAAAATTTAGTAGAAGAAAATGGAATAAAAATTCTAGGTTTTTTCAATGTTTCAAGTCTTACCCATATTTGAAGTGTTTGTTAATTCTTCGGTTTTCTGGGGCAGGAAATATTTTTATGAACCTTATTGATCTCTCGTCTGAAGACATTTTTTGATGTGTTTGTTTACTAATTTTGAAGCTGTCTTCGATGAAATTTGTTTTCTTCGGTTAGATTATTATTATTTTGTTCCCCCACAAGTGTAAAGTATCTCATCCAACTCTTGTTTCATTTGTTGTAGGGTTGGAGTTTGAGATGGACTTTTCTGAGTCCACAAAAGTTCTATACAGTAGAATCCAGAAACTAGAGCCTGAAAATGTCTCTAAGATTGTTGGGTATCTCCTGTTGCAAGATCCCGGTGAGCGCGAGATGATCCGGCTGGCCTTTAGCCCTGACAATTTGATCCACAGTTTGATTAACAAAGCTAAAACTGACCTTGGATTGTCTTCTAATCAGGCAGTTTCTGCTCCAATTTCACCTCCTCAGGTGAAGCCAGCACTTTCTGCTGATCTTCCTTTACATTTCTCACCATTTTCACCATCTTCATCGCGCTCTTTTTCTTCTCCGGCAACACTTGGGGCTGCTAATCCCTACTGGGATCCACAAGTCACTGTTGATCAGCAATCAGTCCACAATTTTGGATTTGTCCAACCACCTTACTCGGAATCAGTCGCTGATGACTATTGCCTCCAGAACCAACTTCAGTTTCTGTCTTTGGAAGACCAATTAGACTCGATTAATTCAGTTGGTTTGGATTTCTCTAGCAATCTCTATTACCCAGAACCTGCATTGGGCCCAAGAACCAGTCGCAGGTCTCCGAGCCTGCCTGAATTCCCTATTAAGGTTTGCCATTACTTTAGTAAGGGGTTCTGTAAGCATGGAAGCAACTGTAGGTATTTCCATGGTCATCTCATGCCAGAAGGCTTCTCTCGCATTGTCAATTTAAGCCCAAGTGAGCTAGCAAATGAAGATCATGTAGTCTCTCCTGGCTCTCTTGAAAAGCTAGAATTGGAAATTACTGAGCTTCTGAAATCAAGGAGAGGGTTTCCTGTTTCCATTGCATCTTTGCCAATGTTGTACTATGAGAAGTATGGGAGGACTCTTCAGGCCGAGGGGTACCTCACAGAGAGCCAGAGACATGGCAAGGCCGGTTACAGTCTGACCAAACTTCTTGCTCGACTGAAGAACAGTATTCGTCTAATTGACAGGTACAATTCATTTCTTTTATTGGTTTTCATAAACTACAGGTTTTTCATTTGATAAAGCATATAATGTTGGGTTGTTACCATTGCTTTACAGACCTCATGGGCAGCATTCAGTAATTTTGGCAGAAGATATACCTAAATACATGGAATACAATGCTGAAAGAAATGACCATGGAGGAATTGTTGCCGGTTCTCGGCAGATATATCTCACTTTTCCGGCTGAGAGTACTTTCACCGAGCAAGATGTGTCCAATTATTTCAAGTAAGAAAGTCATATGCTCTTATCTGTGATTGCTGGTCTTTTTGTATTTTGTATCTTTGGTTTCTCAAGATTAAAACTTCCTATTTTCCCTTTTGGTACTTCTTTTTGTGTAGCAATTTTGGGCCAGTTCAAGATGTTAGGATTCCTTGCCAACAGAAGAGGATGTTTGGGTTTGTGACTTTTCTTTTTGCAGAGACTGTCAAGCAGATTTTGGCCAAGGGGAATCCTCATTTCGTTTGTGGGGCTCGTGTTTTGGTAAAACCCTATAGGGAAAAGTCAAGGCTTTTTGACAGGTATAGTTTTAGCGTTTTGGAAGATGGAAATATATATTTTTGTATTGCTCGTGGCATTAGCGGTACTGTTAATGTATGGTTTAGTTTTTTCCTTAAGTTTGAAAGGCATAATATCAGAACTTTCCTTTTGTTTACGACAAGATTCTGCTCAACAATGCAGCCTAGTGAGGCCTTTTTTCTTTTAAAGTTTTGTTCATGTCATTTTTGGCCTTTGTTTTTGAATCTTTCACTTGTTATGTGTATCTTCTCATAGCTCTCAGACATGCAGATCTATACTTTGGCCTTTCTTAGGTTTTGTATAGTCCACTGAACTCAACTTTTTCATAGCTATTGGAGCAGCGGTACAGCTGATTAGTTGTAGGTTTATGTTGGGACTTTTTGATGCATCAATTATCACAATGTTAGTATTATTTAATTCTCTAGCATTTTTTTTTATTGTGCTTGTTCTGTAATGTCCTAAATGGGGGAAAAATGATGAAAATTTTAGTTCTCTCATTGCCACCTTCTAAGATTCCAGCTGGTCGTTGTCCTCATGTACAAGTTAAGTCCTTAATTTGCTTATCCATAGGCTTTTTAAAGTCGTCGTCATGACAATTTTATTTCAAGGTTCCCTTTATCCTCACTTTTCCCTGATAATTTAAATTCGATTTTGAACATCGCCACAAGAATTCTGTTTCATCATTAGAATCTTTTTTCAAAGTTATTTTTGTACTATTGCAAACTATAGAAACCATAAAATTGGGTCAAGTACACTGACACTCCCTGAGGTTTACCCTAATTATTGATAGATGTTGTGTCTAGAAAAATCTAGACACCCCTTGTTAGTGTCAGAAGACTCAGGATGATGATAAAAAAAAAGAAAGTGTGAAATGTAATGTTTGTCCCTTTTTTTATAATGCATTTTTGGACAAAAAAAAATCTTTCAGTTTTAATGACTAAAATGCTCATACCAACCCCCCATGCCTCACTCTCCCGCCTACCCTTTCTCACTTCACCACCTCTCATCCCTCCTCCCCCTCTCCTCTTTCTCTCTACTGACCAATAAGCTAGCTGAATTGTCTTCCCTACTAAGTGAAACCGAAGCCTATTTGGAATATATGCGCACACACACACACACACAAGTTTACAAGATTGAGATCATATATGTATACATGTAATCACGTCAATGGATGATCGATTGGATTGGGCGTGCTTGCATGCGACAATGTGGGTTCGATAACGGCTCCTTCTGCACCTGCTGCGGCTCCAAGCCAAATACATCATCACCAACACCTTGGACAATACTCATCAAAGTCCACAATGGTACCTGGTCTGACAACCCAATATCAGACTTTAGCTTTTACTAACATTCTGCATTCTTATAGGAATTGAAGAGTACAGCCTTTTTACTCTATCAATGTATAGCAAAGGAAGGGCTATATATATATTGACAATCAAATGAGTAATAATGATCTATTACCAAGGATTTTGGAGGAGTGAGAGGAGACGGCACTGAGAATTTGCAAATCCCTAGCTGAAATCGAAGCGCGCTTAATGATGCAACTCTCCATCCCCTTCTTTCTCCAACAATGGTTTCTCGTCTGTCAAAACAAGAAAATTTCCCTTCTCCATTTTGGCTCTCCCTCTTTCCTCTCTAAATCAAACACCTTCATCTCTCTATTTTTGTCTATCTAGCTTTCTCTCATTCTTTTCCTCTGTCAATAACACTTTCTCTCTTGAAATTGCTTTCTTTGTTGGTTCTACAATTTGATATGTTAGAAGACATTGAATTGAAGAATAAGATGGTTCTTTTGTTACTTTAAAGAAGGTCTCTTTTTTATTTTATGGTTAATATTAATATATATATTTATTTTCTTTTTTACTTATCAAAAAATATATATATATATATATATATATATATTTTTCTTCCCTATCCTCAAAGAGGAGGGGAGGGGTTCGATCCCCGGCATGGGCAATGTGTGTGTGAGTACTTACCTGATACAAAAAAAGAAAAAAAAAAAGTGAGGCTCTATAGTTTATATTAGGGGTGACAAATTACAACACGACACGACACGACAAAATGACACGAACACGACATGAGTTAAAAGGGTTTGGGTCATAAAAGGGTCGACACGATTAACTCGTTTATTTAACCGTGTCGGGTTAGGGTTGAGGGGTTCAACCCGTGTAACCCGTTTATGACCCATTTAAATCAACATGTTATAATCATGAATATGATTTATGTAATATGTTACTTGTTTAAACCCAATTACTATGGATATTTAAGTATTTTCAACATAAATCTTGTTTATGCCTTATGATTTTTCTTTTTATTTTGAATATTAGAGTTAATTATGACAATTTTTTTTCTATTATTTAGTATTTGATTAAATATTAAATGTCTTATTTTAATAAACAGGTCATTAAACGGGTTAACACATTTACCTGTTTAATAAACGGGTTGGGTTAGTGTTGAGGATTCTTGACACGATTATTAAATGGGTTGGGTTTGGTTTTACCTATTTAGTATAATACCCTTACATTGACACGACACGAACACCACCCACGAATACAAATTGCCACCCTTAGTCTATATAGATATATCTGGCATTATAAGTTACAAAGCAAGTAAAGGGTAATTTTGTCCATACAAGAAAGTAACAATGGGGCAACTTGGTCAGTTCATATGATGCATTAAGGTTCAAGATGTATTTTCACTACCTGAAGGGGTAGAGAAGTAATTTCACATGGTGTCAGATTATTGACATAATGGCTGATTAACTGGAGGGGATGGGTAGTTATTACGCGCCAAACCTCAAGGGGGTGTTTCTATAGGTTCTCAAACATAGAATCTATGTGTAATAAGGATAAACCCGATGTCAATGTAATTACCCTAAAGCTCCGTTTCATTGGAGATTTGGAGGGATGGGAAAATGGATGGAAGGGGGAGGAGGAGGGATAGATGAGGCATCCCTAGAGAAGGAAAGGTGTCTCCCTCACTTTTTGTTTGGTTCAATGGAAGGGATAGTAGAAAAGATGGATGGGGTAACACCTTTTTTTTTTTGTTTGATTGGAAGGGAGGGAGAGTTTTTATATTCTTTTTACCAATATAGTCTCATTATATAAAATTGTAGTAAAAAGTTGTTGTCCATTTCAAGTTTTTGAAAAGGTTAAAATTGAAAATTAAATATTTGTCGGTAGTTATTTCTTCACTCCCTCCTCTCTTTGGCTCAATTTTGGAAGGATGAAAAACTTTCCAAGAACATAGGTAAGGAGGGATGCTTCCTCCTTCCTTGCTTCCTCCCTCCAAACACGAACACTTTCATCCATACTTCCTCTCATCCATCCCTCCTCAATCCTTCCTTCCAACCAAACATAGCATAAAAGATTCCTCAATTTTCTGCTGAAATGGATGTTTCTTGACTGTGAGTTGAAATTTTAAGGTCAATTCTGACAGATATGTTTCTGTGCAGAAAGTATGCAGATAAAATTCAGCACCCTATGTACAATGGTTCACACTTTCTAGATGCAGAATCTGAGCTTCACTCAAGTGAGAAAAATCCTCAAATGAATTCCCAATTATTTTTATTTTATTAGTTTTTCTGATGCATGTTACCCTAAATGTTTGATAACATTTTGTTACGGACTTTTCTTTAGTGCCTGTAGTTTCTGAGAATTCAAGAATTGTCAGGAAGCAGCTCATGGAAGAACATGAGCAAGCTCTTGAACTTGAGAGAAGGCGTTTCTCAGAGTTGCAGTTAGTGCCTAAATCCTTGAATCATCACGCATATTTTACCCATTCAATGGATGATGTGAAGCTTTCAGAAGGTTTCAATCTTTATACTCCATAGACAATAGTAAATTAAAATCTTCTTGAACTTTTTTTTTTTTTTGGTAGATACATTAATCCCTTTTTGATATTCTTCTAGCCTAATTTTTTTCCTTTTCTTTTTGTCACCATAGCCCGTGCAGAACAAGCGGAGTTCCCATCTCCGGAGCGTCTCAATTACCTTCTGGATGTTCTGAACAATGGTTCTACCAGTGAAGACAACATTAGGCATATAAGCACCAATCACAACGAACAGGACAGGTATGAGTTATGTTTTTTTTGGGTATTTAAGATAGTGTGATGAAAGGGGTAAGAGTTGTTTATTATTATTATTTTTAAAAGTCTTCTTGGAAGTCAAACAGAGTCTAAATCTTGATAATTTCTATTTGGGTTTATTTTCTAAACATTGCAGCAGTCAAGGACTTAATCTTCCCGACAGTCCATTCGCATCTCCAATAAGGAGTGGCATTTCAACAGTCATATAGATTCAGAAATAGAGAAGAACAATAGAGGTAGAGAAATGAAGTTCAAAGACCATTTCATGGGTTTGATACGACACAAACTTTCTCCTTGTTTCACAGTTTTATCAATTAATCTCGAGCGCCAGTCAGCAGTTCATTGCGTGTTCATACCTAGTGAAGCAGAAGCAACAGATGGTTTTTCTTCTCTGTTACTTTAGGGTGGAGGAGATTGCAAAGAAGAGTGATACAAAAATCTAATTTGTAACAAGTTTCTTAATTTTATATTTTTTTACTAACGTTAATCACAGAGAGGTCTTTAGAAGGGAATGTAATTATAGTATGCTTTTAGTTGAAGAAGAAAGGATCTAGAAAAATTTGCAGGATTCAGGGTGAAAGAAAATGTAGAGATCTCTGCAAAACTCAGAGACAAATGCTAATAATAGTTCAAATTATACAAAGTTACAGTCTTAATCTGCGTCTCTTTTTGAGTCTTTTCAGTGCATGGATAACTTTTGTTTTTATTTCCTTTTATTGTTTAATGCTTTTAATCATAACAGTATTGCAGGTAATTTTCTTATCTTGCTCTAAACAACTCAAGAAAGAGATGTCAAATTCTAGCCTCGCCTTTTACTATGAGACTGGGATACAATTTATTTGGTGTGACATTTTCAAATTACAATATATTTTAACTAGAACAGTGGGTTAGTTTTTAGAAATGATTTCTTTCTGATATATATATATATATATATATATATATATATATATATAATTTGCATTTTTAAGAGCATGGTGTTTTCAATCGTCTTGAGATTTAATTTCCTTTTTTTTTTTTTTTCGAGAATGGCAAGCAGCAACACAAACCACTTTTTTATATTTTTTGTAGGTAAGTGAACAAAAGTAGAAAAATAATTTTTAGAAGTTTTTATTTATTAGAAAGTGTGTCAGATGGTTCCATGTTTTTTAGTTTAATTGGTTTAGTTGTTTGAAAATAGTTTTATGTTTCCAAAGAATTAAAATTAGAAGTGTTGAAAACAATTAAGAAAAGACTTGTTTTCAAAGAAATTTTTTTTATAATTATCTAAAAACAGTTTATTTTATTTTATTTTATTTTTAATAAAATTGAAGTAAATAGACCTAGTTTTTCAGGAAATTGCTTTTGAATTTATATTTGCAGCGATAAACCCTTCACAACCCCAATAATGAAAATATTGAATGATTAGTATATGTGTAGTGATATTTGGTTTTATTACAGGAAGACATTTCATATCCCATGAGTGAAGTTTTTTTTTTTAATAAAAACACACACAATAATGATGTAAAAGGAAATGAAAACATGTTCATAATGTTTATCTTTAACCTATATAATGGGTCCAAGAAAGCAAAAAAAAAAAAAAAAGAAGCTCTAATGATGTAAAAGGAAAGGAAAACCATGTCCATAATATTTACACCATATAATGGGTCCTGCATGCTATTAGTATCAGCAAACATGATAGTTGTTGGGTTGTATAGCACCTGCATCATTGTGTTATTTACCCTCTCTTTCTCTCGCTTATTATATATATATATATATATATTGAATAATTGACATAAAGAAAGAACCAAGTTCTTATTCTGGTGCAATTAAATAATGAGGTTCACAGCCAACCAAAAGGATCATTGACTGTCTGATGAGTGAGGTCAGAATTGCGTGTTGTTAAAGTAGGATTTCTGACTATAAAACAAGGAGGTTGATTGGAGTTTTGTGGACCACTGCCACCAAGGTAATGGAATTTTTACACTGCAGCTGAGTAATGAAATTTTTTTCGAAATAGTTGATATTTTGATAGGATGATAGAAAAAGAATTATTTCGTCTCAAAATTTGAATAATATTCATTACTTGAAAGTGATTCTTTCGGGCATTCATCGAAAGGGGACACTTGCTTCGAATTTAACCAATTGAGATATCTAGAAACAATATTTTTTATTATTATTTCTCCATTCTAAATTCGAAGTGGATTATGATTTTATTTATGTATTTTTTCTAGATTCAAAGACTAACCACGAAATCACAAATAAAAAACAGAATAGATTCATAGGTTTGCCAAATTCCACAACAATTATGTGAGTCATAATTATATAATCGTGACTTCTTTTCTATTGAATGAGATAGAATATATTATCAAACTTACTTTATTTAATCGACAAACGGTTAGGGTAAAAAAGTGTAGAGGGAGAGAGCAAGACAATAAACAACTACTCACTTCTCATCTTTCACGGCTTGTCCAATTTTAGTTTGGGCCTGATTAATTATAGTTCAAGCCCATTTTAGGGCAGGCCTAAACTACATCAAGCTAAAGATCGTGTTAGAGGTTAGAACAGGTTCAAGGTGGCATAAGACATCCTTGTTTCCTAAGCCAGCTCATCGCTACAATTATAAATATATATAAATATTATTCGTTGGTGGTGGTGTTAACACATCATCGGTTCAATCGTTTCATTATCGAAATTTTTTTTTCAAAATTATACCATGCATTGTGCAATAATTCAAATTTGTAAAAGAATGCTTTATAATTTATTCCATGTTTGGAATTCACAATATTAAATTAATAATCGGAATTTCCACCCTTACACTTGCATTGTGGGACGCGAGTAATCTATTAAATTGTAGGGAGGGAACAATGTTGTTGATATGTTCAATTTGTTTGGTCTGTGTCTTCTTCTCCTATAAAGTCGTAATAAAGCAGTCAAAGAGTTCAACAGGAAGGGTAGCGATGGGCATTTTAGGGTCAGAAGGACCCACCTGAGACCCAAAACACCAAACCAAAAAATTGTAGTTGGACCCATTTGTAAGTTTGTAAAGTCTGTAATTTTAGAAAATGAAGATGAAGACAAGAGCAGAAAGAACATTGGAATTGCAAGTCATACATATATGTACATTTTTTAATCGAGTCAGTCTCCCAAAAGCCCAAACATAGTCGGTGAATGAACAGAGAAGTTGCATAGCTCTGTTATCTTCTCTTCTTGTATTTTGGTCCGTAGAATTTACTGAAATACAAACACCCCACACACACACACACACACACACACATAGTTTTATTATATACAGTAAATAAGTTGGACTAGTACCTTGGCGTTATTGTGCAGAATTGGGCCCCATCAAATGTGGGCTAAATGAAGCCACCTGGGGTTGAGGGGTACGTGCTATAATTATATATTTGATTAATATCACACGCGGATCTAGGAAACATAGCACAACTGATGATGATTATCAACAAGAATAAATAATAAACAAGGAACTTTAATATAAGCTCAAGAAATAGTTTAGCGATAGAGATTTACTCACATTTTCAACTTTTTGACAATTATTATTAAGTGTATGTGTCCAACACCACCATCATAATTTTTTTTAATAGTTTTATTTTCTATAAAAAGTGTTTTGTGAGGAGGATAGATTATTCAAAGTAAGAAAATACTAGTAAAGGAATGGGCAAAAGAGTTATTGAAGATAAGATGGTGGGGCCAAGAGATAGTCGACCTTTTTGGAGGGGACAAGCAAGCAACAAGATTCTCTTTTTTTTTTTTTTTTTTTATCTTAAAATCTCTGGACATTTGATTCCAAAAACATATAGAGTTGTGTTTTGGGGGAATCCACTGCGTGATTACGTATTTATGATTTTTTAAATCCCAAGGGGGGTGGAACTTTAACACCTTCCAGAGAGGAACGTTCATATAGCATCTAACTTAATTTTACTAAAATACCCTCCTAATTCTTTAATTTGTCTTATTTGTTAATGAAATATTTATTTATTGAGCAAAAATATATTGGGAATAGTTATTTTATTGGGCTTTAAATTAGGTAGAGTTGATAATAAGAGGGGATTATGGTCAAGTAAAGGAATAAGACAACAATAGTGATACTGAAAGGCCATTCTGAGAGGAAAAGAAAAAAGGGGGAGTGGAGGTGAAGTGGAAGACACTTGTTCCTGCGTCATCTCTCTAGTTGTAAAACGCCTTTAAACCAAAGGTGCTCTCTCAGGAACCGTGTGGGTCACTGTCCTAACTTGGTCCCACTATTCTCTCTATTTTGCCCCTTCTATTCGCTAAATCCACCATATTGCTCATACCACTAAATCTTCCTCCTTTAAATTATAGAGTTCATTCTATCTTTGTGGTTCCTTTTAAAGATGATTTTTTTTTTTTTTTTTTTTTTTTTTTAAAGTTGAGACAGAGAAAGAAAAATGATTAGATGGACGGTAGAAGCTAAAAGAAACGGGAGATACATAAATAAGGGGGAAAAAGGAAGAATAAGTGAATGAATATAAGTGGTACATCAAATTTAGCATAGCCAAAAATTGAACAACTTAATGAACATAAGTGGCAAGAATGTAGTTTTACAGAACATTAAGGGCTTTTCGCTTCCATATTCTTCTTATAATGCAGGTGTTTTCCTCTGTCAGGGGACTCCTCGGAGTCCTCTCTCTCTCTCTCTCTCACACACACACACACACACACACACACACACACACAAACTCAGATTCTGGTATGGAGCGTAATACGAAACTGTGATTCTTCAATTACGGTGGGTATGTAATGTCAAACCAGCGACTGATTTTACATTAACAACCGAAATTATTCCCCCACTAAGTGAATTGTTATTGCTTTTTGCAGACTTTTTCCCCCCTCTTAATTGTCTCTGTTCTTGAGGTTTTTGTGACAATTTGGTTTTGACATTGCCAATTTGGTTTGGTTTAGGGAGTTGGGAGGATTTTAAGCTCCGAGTTTATTACATTTTCATGGATGATATGGAGTTACAGAGCATGGTGGGTGATAGATCCGTAAAAGGTAAGATTTTTCACTTCATTTGTCATCATTTCTCTCAGGTGCTTGGAGCTTTAGTTTTGTGTTAATGGGTCTCACTTGGAATGTCCATTTTTTCATTTTAATGTGTTCTGAGGTTGCATTTTCAAATCAAGAAATGGTAAGACTATTGCTTGTCTGTTTATTTATTTGTTAATTGTGCAATCTGTGTACTGGGTTTTAACTGTTTGTGAGGACTGAAGACATAATTAAGTTAAAATAATTGAGATTTAGGGAGAGAGATGAAACAATTTTTTTAAATGTGTATGTGTTCATACATAATGTGTATGTGTTCTTTAAATTTTCGGTTGTGGTGAAGAATAATGTGTTCAATTGGTCTTGATATTGTTAAGAGCATTGCTGGGAATTGGCAGTTTAGTTACATTACTGGGTCTGCTGTTTGCAAGAACCCGAAGTGGAGAATTACTCCATTTTATCGTGTTAATTGATTTCAGATTTTCTATTATTTGTAAGAATGCCTTGTTATTTGTTGATGCTTTATATGGAAGTCAAGTAGATTAGTAGTGGAGTTGTGTGTTTCATGGTTTTTGTTGCAAGAAATCTCGAATCACGGTGTATCATACAATCCTCATTGTGGTTGTTAAGATATCCATACATGAATGGTTGTTAAAATATTCAACTTGAGAACATGAAGAAGGGAAAGGACTGTGATTAAAAGGAAGAACCAGCTAGTTTGAAGTCGTAATAGTCGTATAATCCCCAACTTTGAAGTGTCCCCAAACTTTTATCGGAACTTTGTATGGACCTTGATCTCATTTTCTGAGAGTCCTTTACCTGCCGGCTGCCACCAATTACTGAACCAGAATAGTATTATATAAGATTAGTTGAAACAAATTGGTTAGAAGAATTGTGATACTTTTGCTAATTCCATTTTTTATTTTTTATTTTCAATGCATGGTTGATTCTTTAATCTTTAAGGAGGAAGGATCTTTTATTTGGTATGCGAGTAACAAAATTGAAATAGCAATGTTGTTAGATGTAAAGCAACAGATTCAGGGGAGAAAAAGAAACTTTACTGATTTAATACTGATAGCAGGAGTGGTATTCTGCAATAAAAAAACATTTCTATTTTGAGTTGGAAAGCTTATTGGAACACTTGATTTTTCAATCGTATAATTACGAGTTTTCTGATTGAGAGTATAATCTGAAGACATGTTTTAGGGGCATAACTGAAGTCTTTTTTTGTCAGACAGATCATCTAGCTGTTTATGAAGAAAAATTGAGGGCATCCTGTTCCACAGCCATAAATACTAAGTTACTTCAATAGAACTCCACATTCAGACATCGAGTTTGTGTGAAGTTCAGAGGAAAAAGAAAAAGAGGAAGACTACCAATTTAATCAGAAAATATACGGGGTCCAAGCACAATCATTTCTTTAATGCAAGCTTCACAGCAACACAAAAGATCAACAATGTCCAAGACATTATACTACCATCCGGAGCAGAAGGTTGAGGCATATTGTTTACCTCAGATTCAAATGTTAGACCACCAATTATGCAACACTACCAGCAGCGGTGGGAGCCACTTCTCTGTTTGGACTTCCCGAGAACAGTACTGCACTTTGGAATCGTCCTCAGCAAACGGCAGTTATACTGTTTACAACTCACCATCAACTGTCACTTTCTCACCCAACGGGAGCCCCATGTCCCAGCAAGATTCTCATTCATACCCTCCTGACCAGCGGCATTCCCCAGACAGTAATCATGGTTCTCCTATAAGCGGTTCCTGCATAACTGATGATGTTAGTGACCTTAGGCACAAGTTGAGAGAATTAGAAACTGTAATGCTAGGACCTGATTCTGATATACTCGACTGCTATAACAGTACCTTACAGGGCAGTATTGCCTCACCGGAGATGGACAGCTGGAGACAAATGATGGATGCGATTCCCAGAGGGGACTTGAAACAGGTTCTCATTGCCTGCGCCAAAGCCATATCAGATAATGATTTGTTGACTGCACAATGGTTGATGGCTGAATTACGGCAGATGGTGTCAGTTTCAGGTGAACCAATCCAACGTCTGGGAGCATACATGTTGGAAGGGCTTGTTGCGAGACTGGCCTCTTCTGGGAGTTCCATCTATAAATCTTTGAGATGCAAAGAGCCTGCAAGTGATGAGCTTCTTTCTTACATGCACATTCTGTATGAGGTTTGTCCTTACTTCAAGTTTGGGTACATGTCAGCGAATGGTGCCATTGCAGAAGCAATGAAGGATGAAAAGAGAGTTCACATCATTGACTTCCAAATTGCTCAGGGGAGTCAGTGGATTACTCTAATCCAGGCTTTTGCAGCTCGGCCTGGTGGGCCACCCCACATTTGTATAACGGGTATTGATGATTCGACTTCTGCTTATGCTCGTGGAGGAGGACTAAATATCGTTGGTCAAAGGCTATCTAGGCTTGCTGCGCTATTTAAAGTGCCATTTGAGTTCCATGCTGCTGCCATATCTGCTTGTGATGTTCAGCTTGTGAATCTTAGGATTCGACCTGGTGAAGCTCTTGCTGTCAATTTTGCATTTATGTTGCATCACATGCCAGATGAAAGTGTCAGCACTCAAAATCATCGGGACCGACTGTTGAGGCTGGTTAAGAGCCTGTCTCCCAAGGTGGTGACCCTGGTTGAGCAAGAGTCTAACACAAACACTGCCGCATTCTTCCCCCGGTTTCTAGAGACACTCAACTATTATACGGCCATGTTTGAATCGATTGATGTGACTCTACCAAGGGAACACAAGGAGCGGATCAATGTGGAGCAGCACTGCCTGGCAAGGGATGTTGTCAATATAATAGCATGCGAGGGGACTGAGAGGGTGGAACGGCATGAGCTTCTCGGCAAGTGGAAGTCACGATTCAGAATGGCGGGGTTTACTCCTCACCCGTTAAGCTCTTTGGTGAATGCTACCATCAAAACGCTGCTAGAAAACTACTGTAACAGATATAGGCTTGAAGAGAGAGATGGAGCTTTATATCTTGGTTGGATGGACAGAGATCTGGTTGCTTCTTGTGCATGGAAGTGAAAACGGGGTATCGAGATTGACTTTTACTTTAGGATGAGAATCAGCAGGCTGAGGTAGAACTTTCAATTTTTTCTGTTTTCTTAATGTGTTAGCTAGTAATAGTTTTACCAGAATGGTTCCCTCAGCATTGTACTTCTATTAATCAAAATGAGCTGCTTTCTTCCCCATCATATATTCGTATATTTCTTATTTGGTGACATAAATTGCATTGATTGAGATCATTGTCATGTCCTCCAAATTCATGTCCGCCTTATTTGTTACCTCAGAAACCGTTTTGTATAAAAGTGACCATAGTTTGTGGAATCTTGGGGGTTCTTAGAACAGCAAGTTCAAGCATTCATACGATTATGGTAAAACCCTAATTCCTTAATGAATATGGAAACTGATCCAAGTGAACTCTTCTTCTTACAGAATCAACCCACATTACCCATGAAATGGAGAAAGCTAATCCAAATAAAATTTTAACAGTGTTTGGATCACTAGGAGAGACTGGGTAGGAAATTGTTGATGCTAATGTTTGTGCATAATTAGGGAGGGCAAAATAAAATAAAGGAAAGGAAGGGTAATAATTAAACCTAATCTTGTTTGGATTATTTGGGTGCGAGGCGATTGTAGTATGCCTTTCCTCTTGTTTGGAAGCACAAGAAAAGAAAGTAATATTTTGATTAGATGAGTGAGTGGGCCACAGATATTAAATCCTGAATGCTTTAAGAATCAACCAATCACATAGTTGCCAAAGAACCAGATTCTATAATAACTCAAATTATTGGATATGTAACAGGTTTCAGATTGTTTGAGCAGATTCTACAACTTCATTTACTCCAGCTTCATTCGTTTCTCTAGATTATGCTTTAAATTTTCATACATTTGGAGATCATTTGTAAATTTCACTCAAACGAAAGGATCCGTTTTTTTTTTTTTTTTTTTTTTTTTTTTTTTTTTTTTGTGTCCCCCACCCTTTTGTTAAAAAGCTCCACGTATTTGCTTTTTCAACCCATATCAGGCTTATCAGCTTATTGATTTTCCCCTATCTTCATATAAAAATATTTTCACAGAGGAGTAATTTTCAACTGTTAATTATGCAACTTTAAGTTGGAAAAAAAAAAAAAAATCGTTATTTGTTTACTCTTTGTTCTCTTCAGCTGAAACAGGGAAGACATTGCATTCAACCCAGTTTATAATAAGTTAAAAAGAATTGACTATCATCATCACTGACTGAAAAAAATTGTCTCTCATCAGTTTCACATTGCATAACTATTTTAAAGCTCAAAAAAGTTTTAGCAGACAGCTATATGTATCCTGCAGACACCAAAAAGATGACCACAAAGGTGTGTTAGTACCAACTAGAGGAAAAAAAAAAAAAAGGATGACCACAGAACTGCAGGTAATACAAAATACTATGAATGCCTGCTAAATTTAGGAATTTCATATAATATCTAAATTTTATTTCTTCTTCCTTATTAGAATAATTTACAACTAATCAAGTTTTTTCTACCTTCTGTCACCAATTAGAAGCATAGTTTAAGTCAGGGTTATAGGGGTAAAAGCACGGCCCCCTCTCTCCCCTCTCCACCTCAGGGAGAAAAAAGAAAATAAAAAAGTAAAAAGAAAATCATCAATGCACACACCTCCTCGTTTAGGTCAATCAACATCATCATTTGAGCTAGAATACACAGCTTCAAGTGGGTCTGAACAAGCGAGTTCATCTTTGAAAATCCTCATCTGGAGTTTGTTACTCAGTTTGCACTGATGCGAACAGCCATTTCAAGACCAACTGCATTGTTCTCTTCTGCTTTAGATCTCGACTCCTCGTTCAAGGCTGTTATATTACTAGTACTAGCTCCTGCTGCATTAGAGGTAACAGTCCTAGTAGGAGGCATATCATGGTCATGTTGTCCCTCATATGTAGTAATGACCACTTTGGGATCATGGGATGCTCTCTCTACATGTTTCTTAACTGGGCAACCAGCATTTGAGCACCTGTAGTAACTCCTACATAACAAAAAAAAAAAGAGTGAATTCCAATGATAGAGGATATAGATCTGCATCACTTTCCCTGCCTCTCTGGGTGGGTAAGGACATGCATCACAAGTTGTATGCAGATATTAGAACAGTGAAAATTCTGTATCGGCTTTCAGTCAACTTATACAACAGCGCAAGATTTGTTGCCAAAAAGCTATGTAACCTTATTATTTAATTAGGAACAGTGTATGCTATTTTAAAACCAAAATTCTTAACCAAAAGATGAGCTGTCACTCCTAAAACCAAAACTATGAATTACTGAATTGAAAATCTATGCTTCAACATTTAAAATCCAAGACCATGGGGCAGCCCATAGAAGGAACTGGGAAATGGTTTGACACATCAATCACCTGCTTTTAAGCAAGTTCTTGAACCGTTGATTTAATTCCCATTGGAAAGTGATTGATATTCCCAGATTGGAGGCATGAAAGAAATGCAGAGATGCTGCTTTTTCATTCTCTTCATCATTGCCTTCCGTGGGTAAATGATAATCTACTAATGTGAAATCTAGGTTCAGTTTCCCAAGCTAATAACAAGATTTAATACTTGCAGTGTCTGATTCTCTACTTGCCTTATTAATTCTTGAGTAAAATCATCCATTTTGGTTTACTGTATATGGACCATCGACTAATAACCCAATGGAACCAGATCAATGTTCTTGAGGATGACAAACACAACCACGAATGGACATCAAACACTTGGAACAACTACAATTGAACGGAGCGGGAGGTGATGGTGGTGAGGTACTCTCCAGTACCACAAACAGAACTGAAGATGGGTCAGAAAATGGGTTGGTGGATATAAATATAGAGAGAGAGAGAGAGATTCTGGTGATATAATCTAGTTCAACAAAGATGAAGAAGAAAAAGGAGAAGGAGAGGAAGATAAGGGCAAAAGCGCACACGCGTGATTAAAATAATCATGAGCACATCAATGAGTTTTCCATCAGTTGTATTAATGGCGAGTTGTGCGAGGGTAGAAGCATATTTTAACCTTGTTACTACCCAAATCTTGTTCTCCGACTGAGATGTATGAAATTCCTCCTTTTGGGATTCTTAGAGATATAAGTAATCCAGAGTCCATCTACTTTGCTGGATGAGAACTCGTTTTCTCTCTCTCTCTCTCTCTCAACACCACCAGAACCAGTTCTTCCACTTGGACTGTGAGTATGGGACCAGATCAAGGATATAATTGAGCTGATTGTTAGTCCTCAACAAGGTGATTACCAGTGGAATCTTGTTAGCTGAAAGAACCACACAGATACAGATGCCACATGAATTACAGAGAATGAGTATTTGTCACATTTATTCTTATCTATGACAATCCATAACTAAAATAACAAGAAATCCCAAAAAGATATTGAATTTTAAAAAATTACATGCCTGAGGATGACTAGACGTAACAGATGAATCACTTCATCGTCCTAGATTAGAGTTGATCAGGTGGATCAAACTAAGAAATGTATTGGGTGAAAATCTTGGTCTATTACAATGCAGAATCTTCCCAATGCCTAAATCATTCAAAACCACTTGGAGAATGACATATCTTCAGATTATTCATTACCAATGAACATATGATGCAATACAGTTACACATCAAAATTTAAGGAAAAATTTGGTCACTGTCTAAAGATTGAAATCTAGTACTGACCTTGGATTTGGATTGCCTTTTACTAATTTCTGTCCATACTTGCGCCAGCGGTAGCCATCATTAACTACGTCAACCTCACTCCGAGTCTGAACAACAAGCCGTCGTTCACCATTCAGCTTATCTGCCAGATTCTCATCAACCTTACAGAGATCTCTCTTCCTGTTGCAGATTATGTATTTTTTATTTTATTGTGGGTGGAAAAATTAAGAAAAGTTAGCCCATGGAAGCATCTATAGAGAACAAAATTGAACAGCTCATATTTGACATACTGTCTCTTTGAGTCTGGATCATTGTCGTTTTCAACCTCGTCTTTTGTTCTATTTGATCGTACAAGTACATCATCACTTTCTCTAACAATAGAAAGCTGAGGAGTTTGAGTAGGCTCCATATGATGAGATATCTGACCGTGTGCATCAGACAATTCCTCTTCAAGAAAGACATCAACACACAAGTCAAGTGATTAATTGGTTAGGATACAAAGCCAGAAATCAGCGATAAAGTTCATCTCTTACCTTCTGCAATAGCCATAGCAGGCTCCTCTACTCTTCTTGCTTGGATGGGCTGAACATTGCTAACAGCTGCCTGGGAACTAGGTTGAGGTTTAGGATGTTCATGCTTGCCCCGATAAATAGTATCTGTGATCTGCCCTGCATGAGAGCGTTCCACTTGCCTCTTCGCTTGGCAGTTCGGATGTGTACATTTGTAATAGCCCCTGATAAATTCATTTCCCTTAACAAATTTCTGCCCATATTTTCGCCAATTATAACCATCTTCCGGTGCTTTATCAGGTATTATAGTGGGACTGCTTCCTTCTTGATCACATTGTAATGCATGAACCCCAGTATCAGGGATCTTGATTTGCCGTAAATTATCTGACGGTTTTTCTGGCATTGTAGAAAATGTGCTTCCTTCTTGATTGGACCCAATATCAGTACTCTGTCTCTGATGTAAATTATCCAATATCTTCTCAGGTACTTTACAGGAAGTGCTTCTTTCTTCATTGGATTGGGTTGTGTGATCACCCCTATTAGGGCTCTGTCTCTGCTCCAAATTATCAGACATTTTAACAGGTACAATAGAGAGAGTCTTTCCCTCTTCATCAGATTGTGATGCATGAATTGCAGCACCAGGGCTCTGTCCCTGCTGCAATTCACCCAATGATTTCTCTGTTAACATAGAGAGGGTGCTTCCTTCTTGATTGGATGGTGATCCGTTGAACCCAGTGTCAGAGCTCTGTCTCCGCTGCAATTTATCAGAAGCAACTTCATCTTGTACACTTTCCCCTGAAGTAACCATGTAAGTTTGTTATCGGAGATGCTACAGATAGATTCAGTTCTCACACATTAAACAGGAGGTGAAGGTGCAAATGCTCAACATAAAATGCCTCATCTTCAGTCACTCAAATCTACAGAATAAAAGCAGATAATATTAGCCAGATATTGACATGTCCCAGGTAGAGGGTTGTTAGGAACTAGAATAATTCAAAATTGACATAATTTGGAGAAATTCACAGCTGAAAATGAGAGAGCAACACATGCCAAAGGGAAAATTTTCTACAGAAAATAAAAACTCTACCATAAGAAAATAAAATAATCTAATTTTTTTGTGCAACTGTTTCAGAAATTAGTAAACTATACCACCAGAATCAAAGTGTCAAAAATAAATAATTAAAATTTTTACAGGTCTTAAAAGGTCAGGATATTTTAATAACGCATCAAAGAATAAGAGTAATATAACCCCAAGGGTAGGCTTGGGAAGCATTGGGTCTAAGGTTCGAGTCCTCTTGGGTGCATTGAGCACACGCGCGCCCCCGCGGGGGGGGGGGGGGGGGGGGGGTGGGTGGTGGTGGTGGTTGGGGGGAAAAAAAGAAATAATATCATAAAAAATAAAAAGTACTACTATTGTTGGCAATTATCAGTACATTTTCTTCTTAACCCAAACCATCTTCTTCCGATCATTTAAAATAGACAACAAGAACCATGCTTTTTAATTTTCAATATATCAAAAGCCATCACCTTTGTTTTCCATTTATGTGAAATTGCAAAATTTCCTAACACTACACCAAGGGACTAACAAAATGTGTTCCCCCCGATTTGTTCTTTGGGAGGGACCAAGTTGCCATATTGATAGAATAAGAGTAACATAATGATGATGACAATGGTGAATGTCCCACAATTCACCAAAAAAAAAAAAAAGTGATATAAATGCCTCCAATTTAGGAGAAGCAGGACAACATTAGAACTGCAGGCAAATTGCAGAATGGAACAATTTCAAATTTAAATAAGATCAACACCACGCAGCCTGTCCAATTTGCACTGATACTAATATAGACTATGGAGTGGAGTCCAATAACATCCAAAAGTGAAAAAACTTGTGTTTACATCAAGTAAGTTAGCTATATCTTAGCTCATAATTGACCTAAACTTCTAAAAGAACACCTAAAAAAGAAAAAGAAAATAAAGAAAGAAAATAAGAAGTTTAAAGACTCTCAGGTCTTTACACCTAACGGGGCATGAGGGCTGGAAGTTTCAGTAAAGTTGCCTGCTAGCAGCCCAACAACCAGTAATTGTCTACTTAAATCAATCTAAAAAATAGAAGCATTAATATGTAATGAATTATCTCCTGTGTGCAAACCTGACAGATAATTAAGAAGAAACTAAGAATCAGATCAGTTGCTCGAGGACACTGGCCTCAAGTTCCATCCAAACACAATTAACGTGCTTCAAGGCATCACCTGTTTTTCAATCATTATTCAAAACCAAGGTAGATTCACATTTTTTCTTCACTTATCATTTTTTTAATCTTTTCAATTTATTTAACTATTAAACAGTAAAGGTAGAACAGAAAGCTTGTCAACAATGACCAACTGTGGTCATAGGGACGAAGCTACCTTCAATTCAAAGGCAGCTTTTGTATTCAGTAATAAATTTAATATTTAATTTGTATCTCACGTGATTACTTATGAAAAAGACAACTATAGACTTAAGTTATGAGACTACCTAATCAACTTGCATGTTGAGTCCAAATGTACTAGCAACCGGTTTAAATTGGTGCACTGTTTCAGATTTATCAATACATTTAACTTTTATCTCTATTTCTTTTTTGCTCACAGGGCTCCAAAATTTTAAGCAGGCTTAAACGCAATGAGGTAATTTCCATCAGTTCCTTACCTAGCATAATAGTAAGCCTACCTAATTAACTTGTGGATTATTACAAATATAAATAAAAAAAGAGGAAGAATTTCTGTTTCACGAAAGAAACAATTTGAATATCTTTTCCAACTGGAATTTTGTCTTCCCACACTTGGTTTACTCATAAAAAGAAAAGAACCAGGTACCGAATAAAAAGTGTGAAAATTAGGATATTTTGATAAAAGTTTTTTCCCGAAACAAATCATTGTAGAAAATACAGGCCTTGACAAAATGACATCCATAACTATGGAATCAGTTACACACATGCACTTATTTTTGTAATATAAAAAATTGGGCAAGCTGCCAACTTCTTGTTGGGCAACTTTATACCCTAAGTCCCTAACACATTTGTAGTTTTTCTTCAAATATTGAATATTTAGGTTTCCAACTAGACCATACGCTAAATAAATATAAGAACCTTGGAAGGCAGATTTGCAAAGTAAAGCCCTCAAATTCGTTGTTCATACAAATTACATCCAAATTTTAAATGTTTCCAGCAATGAAATTTTGTTCATAATTTCAAGCATAATTCTTTTCCATACAAGTATTTAACTACCCGGAGAGAAATTTCAAGAAATGAAAAGGGAACAAAACATTTTAGAAAATAATAACAGAAGAATTATAACATATTCATTATATGACATGTAACATATCAATTAATTTGCAGGAATTTAAATCAAAGGAAGTCGAAAAATATAATAGAGATATGGTAATAGAAGTAAAGAATACAATGAAATTAAAGTCGACTATATCAGCAAATAATTAGGCGAAATTAAAATTCGAATTTCCAGAAACTTATCGAGAGCTCGTCAGTTAACTCCAAAATACTTCAATTGCAATTAACATACAAATACGTACACACGCGCACACAAATATAGTACCGAAAAGAAGAAACGGAAAATCGATCAGAAGAGCCCAAGTTTAAATCACAAACCCTAGATATTTTTGACAACAATTCTCCAAAAAACGTTTCCTTTGTTGTGGTAACGGAGCCGGGAAGATAATCACATAGGTAGATCACAACAGAACAACCGGTCGAGCCACCGGAGAAACTCCGAAGCTGTGGCGGACTTTACCTGAGACTGTCAAAGCGTAAAGCTTCACATCAGAATCCACAATTGACTAAACGAAGCATAACAAGAGCTGGAGAGATGGGGAGAGAGAGAGAGAGGGTTTGGTGTGACTGTGTGTGTGTGTAACGAAGAATGTGTGTGTATTTGTTGCTGTTTTGATGGGCGAGACCGTATCAAAGACCACGTGGTGCTCTAAGAATGACCGTTGGATATTAATTGGTGGGGTTCACGTGTGAGGATTGTAAGGCCGTTGATGATGAGAAAGTGTGGGTCCAGCGAAGTTGCTACTACTCGCGGGACTGTACATTGTTTGACTTGTTCACAGCGTCATGACAATTTTGTCCTCAAATTTTTCGCCACTTTATTTTAGTGATTGGTCATTATTGATTTTCTTGTAGGACTAGTTAGTAATGTTTTGGAATATGCCAGGAATGCTCTAGGGCCATTTGTTAGCATGTACCGTTTGCTTTGGAATACTTCTGATAAGGATCTGTTTTTACAAAAGATAATTAAAGTGTCAACAGTCAAAGTAAGATAAATGTGTCGAAAGCTGAAAAAAAAAAATTAAAAAATAAAAAAGAAAGTATTATTTCACATCTTATTATTCATAAGTTTTTATAGGAGTAAATTAGTGCTTGTATTAAATAATAATAATAAATAATGTAGAGAAAAAGGTATCGGCTAATTTCATACTCAAAAGTCAAAGCTAAAAGATTAAGGAGAGAATGAAAATGGAAAGAAAGGAAACCAAAGGTAATGGAAGGAAATAAAAAATAAAAATAAAAAATTATGTTTGGTATGAAATGTTAGACGAAAATGAAAGAATAAAAAGGAAGGATTTGAATGGATGGAATAAGGTTTGAATAGTAATTTTTGTTATTCTTTCAAAAATGAGAGGAAAGGAAGGAAAATTTAATATTTCTAATAAAACTTTGTTAATATCAAATTTATCCTTATTTTTATAAAAGACAAACTCTATGAAAATGGGTATGGTTTTAAATTTATTAAAATTGTTTCATTTCCTTTCTTTCTCCTATTACTATCATTTTCCTTTCTTTTCCTTTATTAATTAACCAAATACGATAAGCAATTAATACTATCATTTTTTTTTTTTTTTAATTTTCGTCCTAACTAATGTTATCATTTCTTTTCTTTTTCACTGTACCAAACAAATTGTTTTGTGGTGTTTTTTTTGTATTTATTTAAAAGAATCGAGACAGCTCAATCAACAATTGTTATGACTTAAGATTTTTGTCTGGGCATAATGTGTAAATTTTATGATTGGCCATGACTAACAATCCCGGAGTCATTTAAAATATACATGGACGGAGCCAATAAAGGGCCAGTGGGCACGTGCCCTGGCCCTGCCCTCTATAATATAATGTTAATTTCCATATATATGAAGAAAAAAAATTATACAGTGCCTCCCTAAATTTTGTGGTTTCTAAAATTATCTATTTATTTACTTTTAAAATTCCTTAAATTTCCTTAGAAGAAAAAGTTAAATTTTCTTTTCTCAATCGAAATTCTTAACTTTTTCCTTTTATAGTTCTCTCAATTTTCATTCATACAAAAATATATCTATTTAAACTTTTGGCAATTTATTTAAATAAAAAACTAGTTTTTTAAAGAAAATTTTTATCAAACTTTCTGAACAAACACAAATAAGATTTATGCCAAAATTATAAAAAAAAAAATTCAATTAAACAATTAGATTTTGATTTGTAAAAAAAAAAAAAAGAAAAAAAAAATTCATGTAACACTTGATAATCATTACACAATATATCAATAAAAAACAAACAACAACAAATCAATTTTGACTAACTTAAATCAAAGAATATTGGCAAGTAAAAAAAAAAAAAAGTGATAAATAAACATTGTTACTTTTTTAGAAACTTATTTGAGATGGAAAACAAAACTATAGTACAGTATTAATATTAAAAAATGCATATATTGGATCAAGGAAAGAATGTTATGTGTTTTTATAAACTAAAAATCAATACAACCATATGCCAAGTAAAATTTTGAGAAATTCAACTTTTCTAGAGATTAAGAAAAATTAGAAAATCATAACTAATTAGTTTAATCCAATCTAAATTTAGGAAAACCAAAAAAAAAAAAAAAAGACACACACCCACACAAAAATACATATATACATACAAAATTTATATAGAGAGAGAAAAAGAAAAAACTTTGAGATTAACCTGGATTGCAGTGTGTATAAAAATCATCTATATTGATGAGAATTAAATAATTTTTTAGGTCAAATCAATATATGTGTGCAATGAAATAAGGGATTTTTTTTTTTTTTTTTTCCTTTTTCGGAAGTTACATTGAAATAAGGATGGTAAGGGTATAATTTTTCTCTGTGTGTGAAATTTGTCTCTCTACACTCTCTTTCTTTCGGGAGAAAAAAGGGCAAATAAATTCAAGTGGGAAACAAGACAAAACAAAAAGGTCAAAGGAGTGGATGAAAAACATTAAATAGCAGTGTGAATATAGGTAATTTAAAACCAAAATATAAAATGCTTTCCAAAACAACAACACTCCAAAAATAAATTAACAAAAATAACTCTCTTTAATCACCAAAAAGAAAAAAGAAAAAAAACAAAAATAATTATAAAAAAAAAGTAACAATTGAAAATTTAACAAAACAATAACAATGATAAAAAAAAAAAAAAAACAAATTAATAAAATAAGAATTTAGATTCTTCAATCAGATTTTGGTTTGATATTTAAAATTTCAAATGAAATTTTTGTTCTAGATTTTGTAAAAATTAATTTCTTATAAAATTCTTATAAAAGCATTAAAAAAAAAAAAAAAAAAGTAATGGAAAGAATCATGTATAAGATGGAATTTTAGGTTAATAAGGTTATGGAAATAATTGTGTTTGAGTTAAAAGGATTATAAGATAGTCACGTTATGAAAATGATGATGTTTTAGTTGAAATTTTAAGATACCCACATTAAATTTTTATGCGACTCAGTTTTTATCGGGTTCTATAGTAGTTAATTAAATCAATTGTTTTAGATTATATATAAACTATCCTTTGTTAAATACTAATTAAAGAAAGTTTTTTATTTTTATTTTTTTATTTTAAGATGGGCCAGTATAGATTTTATACCATATATACTATACCATCTTTATTTTAACCTATACTATAAAAAATAAAAATAAAATAAAAAAATTCCAAAAAATTAAGGGGAGCCATGGCCACCCCCAGCCTCCCCTTCCCTTCGCCCCTGGCTCCAAGCCTCTATGTAGAAGTATATCAAGTAAGGGTGGTAAATTACGACACGACACGACAACACGATATGAGTTAAAAGAGTTTGAGTTTGACATAAACGGGTTTGAGTCATAAAATGGTCAACACGATTAACCCGTTTATTTAACCATGTCGGGTTAAGGTTGAGTGGTTCAACCCGTGTAATCTGTCTATGACCCATTTAACTCAACATATTATAATCGTGAATATGACCTATGTAATATGTTATATATTTAAACCCAATTATTATGGATAGTTAAGTTATTTCAACTTAAACCTTACCTATGCCTTATGATTTTTCCTTTTATTTTGAATATTTAGGTTAATTATGACAATTTTTTTTTTTTATTATTTAGTATTTGATTAACTATTAAATATCTCATTTTGATAAACAGGTCATTAAACGGGTTAACACTTTTACCTGTTTAATAAACGGGTTGTGTTAGTGTTGAGGATTCTTAACACGATTATTAAATGAGCTGTGTTTGAATTTACTAATTCAGTATAATATTCTTAAATCGACATAAACACGACTCACGAACACAAATTAAGGACTCAAAAAAGAAGATCACTTCCATCTTTTCACTCTCTAATCTATTAACACAAATTATAGCACCTATTAATGTTTAGGGCAAATGGAAAATTTATTCGATTTTTTTAGATTGGAAACATAAATATAATTTTAAAAAGGGCAATACTATAACCAATTTAAAGGACATATATACTCATGATGTCATCTCACTATTGTCTATTGATTATTTGTACTTAAGGGCGGGCCTTCCCAAGGCGGTCGCCCAGGGCCTCCAAAATTAGAGGGAAACAAATTTTGGCCCTTCTTACACTACAAGTTTTTAACAAAATGCTCAAGACCCAAAGAAGCCCAAAATAAATGGGACAACTACAAGTCTAATTAAGGCCCATACACAGCCAGTACAATGAGGATAGCCCAACCCTAAACAAATCCAGAATTGCCAAAACTGATAGCTAGGACAAATCAAGTCTCCAGTGACGCAATAGAAAGCTCCATCAGAGTTTGTTTTGGTGATCTATTCAGGCCATTTTAGGACATGGGCCAATTTGAAAGGGCCTCAAAATTAGGTCACTCATCAGCCGCCCTCTCTCTTCGTTCTTTCCACAGTATTAGGGCTAAATTTACAAACCACAACTCTTGCTACTCGATGAGATCAATTGGTTTCACGATGCTTTCAGACCTTGAAGTTGATAGTTCATTTAGCATGTATCGTTAATTCGGGTCAATTTTATCCTTGATTTCGGAGGCTTAAGCTTCACAAAGGTTTCAAAAAATTTCTTAAGTAAAGATCTATCGCAAACCATATTAATTTTCTTTTGCATGTTATGTGTCAATTCTATTGATTCCGGTGTTTTTGTATTATATATATAAATTGGAGTGACAATGGTGGTAATAGCAGAGCAGAGGATCCTAACTATTGCCTATTGGGCGAAGCTGAAAGTTCCAAGTTATGTTGGATATCGTAAATATGATTTTTGTGTGACTCATTAAGTTGGATAGGTTTAGGATTTTTCATGAGCTTTCACATGTATAAATTTATTATAATTTTGTCTTCGCTGCAAAAAGGCAATATTTGTTTGCATTTGTGGAAAGGACATTTTCTATTGTCTTCTTGGATTCAGATTGTACAATGTGTCAAGTTCTACAATGTGTCAAGTTCTACGGTGCCTTGCTCCAATTGAATTAGTGTGACTCTAAACTTAAATTGGTATATTTTAGACATATTCAAAACTTTTGATAATCAAATTACCCAATCCTGTTAATTCCCTAATCAATAAAAATCTTGAAAACATAGCCATACTGCAAACCATAAACAAAAAAATATCAGTTTTAA